TTCCAGAAGCAGACTGGCCTCATCTTTCTCCCCCGGAGCGGAGCACTAGTGGGTTTGAATCTACCGCCGACCTTGTGCTTAGCTGCCCAGCAGAGAAAGGACTAGGAAATACTTTATCCAAGGTTCCCCACGCATGTCACATGCTGATAGGCACAGGCTGGCAAGTAGCCTGCACACCAAAGCCACTTCCATCTTGGCTGAGGGCAAAAAGCTGTAAGAGCTAAGAGCTGCAGTGCACGTTCACCGCTCTGCCTCCAGAAACCCAGTGCAGCGCTGGAACGAGCAGACCGTTTACACGGAGCTTCAGCCTTCAATCGCCTGGCTCTCAGCCTCTGCTGACACCTTCCAGGGGCAGGCCTGGTCCTCTTCCAGATGATTCTGGTTTCCTGGAGAACAAAATGAGCCTCTAATGCCTAATATTTTCTCTCTGACAGATGGTTTCCGATGTATCAAAGTGCTAATCCTTGCTGAGGTGTAGGTCTCCGGGAAGGAAGGGCTGGCTTCGAGAACAATGGGACATGCACAATTAAGGAGGGAAACAGCTCCCCGATAGTCGCCATTGTCATGTGCGTGAGCAGCTCACGCCGAAGGAAAGCAGCAGACCCTGAGAAAAGATCTGAGGCCCACAGAGAATGAGGCAACGCGTCGTCTGGGTTGGGAGGTTAGTATTGAAATGTTTCTGCTTGAAGGCCTTGGTGGGATGCACATGAAGTACAGTCAGAATGCCTTTCAGCTTGGGGAGATGAGGCTCTGTCTGCCTCCCCTCCACATGACCACCCCCAGATTCAGGATCAGCTCTGGAGACAAAGGACTGGGTGGTGGTCGTGCCACTTCCTAGAGATATGACCTGTGTACATCATACCACCTCTCGGAGCCTCAGTTTCTCCCTCTGACAAACACAGGAATCCTAAAACCTATGTCAAAGCAGGCTTCTAAGTTGTCAGGAACCCTAATCTAACAAACTTGCTGGTGGTGGACTGGTTACGCAGTGGGCTGCTGATTACAGCCCTCCAGTCACTTGGCAGGAAAGACGTGGCAGTCCACTTCTGAAAAAGCCCAGCCTTGGAAACTCATATGGGGTCGTTTGTCCTGTAAACTAAAGCCCACTGCCATTCAGTTGATTCCAACCCAGTGACCTTCTAGGACCCTCCTCCCTGCCATCCAGTCAATTCTGACTCATGGCAACCCTACAGGACAGGGTAGAACTGCCCCTGTGGGCTCTCAGGACTATAACTCTTTGACTCAAACTCAAAGCCTTGTCTTTCTCCCCAAGAGCAGCTAGTGGTTTCAAACTGCTAACCTTGGGGTTAGCAGCTCAACACATAATCACTAAGCCACCAAGGCTCCTGCTTATAGGACAGATCAAAAAAACAAACCTACTTTCATGGAGTGAATTTCCACTCATAAGAACCCTAAATGTAGGGCAGAGTAGAGCTGCTCTCTAAGGTTTCCAAGGCTGTAAAGGGACTA